GAGCATTAAAATGTTTTTAAATAAAATAAAATTTTTAAAAAATTAACAACAGCCAAATAAATAAATAAAGGTTCTTCAGATGAATTTTCCTGTTGAAAGAACCCCCCCCCCCACCCCCCCACCCCCTACCCTCCTAATTTGGTTGGAGATGAAAGGAGCAGAGTGATGGAGCTAAAGGGCCACGGACATCAGCTGGTTCTCCTGAGTTAAAATCCCTAAAATCCCTCAGGAGCTGAAACACACATCTTCATCCTCCTGTGCTATCCATTAAGCCCGTTCCCCAGCAGACTGGTTATGGAAGGTCCTGATGGGCCACTCTGTTTTTACTGTGAATGCACGTAGCTCAGTGAGGAAACAAAATGACCATGTTTAACTTGAGCTGTGTTACATTCAGTCACCAGCGTGCCATACTCAGCGTTCAAAGCCATTATATTCATGTTTAGTTCATGGTATTAGATCAGATAAAGCTGGAACAGCTACGTCTGTAAAATGTGATGTCACTATCCCTGACCTTTGATCTTTGTCTGATTAGTGTTAGTGTTACTGTATTGAACTGTTTATATCAACCCGACACTTCCTGTGTTATTTTCAAACTAAAAGTCTTTTGTTAGGCCTTCATTGTTAAATGGAAAAAAATGATTTATTTGAAGATCTGCAGTAAATATGATTATCTGTGATCACGATATTAACCCCATGTTCCATGACAGCAGAGACTGCCCAAGAAGCCATCCTACAGGTCAACAAGAGGAGGTCTACTCATACAGATGGAGACGTGGAGATGATGCAGAGGACAGTGCAGATGGTCAAACGGGTGACGATGTGGCTGACTTTACAGTTTACTGGCTGCATCATTTTAACACTGAATCAGTAACTGGAAACCTGTGGGTACTGGGAAACCAAGCGAGTATTTAAACGTGTAGAAAGGAGTTAACGTACAGACTAATGGAAACACCCATGCACCCATTCTCTGGAGCCTGTGCTTCTAGCTGCCAGAGGGCCAGAGGTGGATGGAACAGAGTTATGATTTGATGAGGAGGAACTGTGTTCCCGACAGGATTCACACTGACACAAAGCAAATAGATGAAGTGTTTGTCCCTCAGTGTTTGTCTCCCCCTGGTGGTCGCTGTCTGCAGGCGCATTCAAATCATCTAAGGCAGTGGTCCCCAAACCCTGGGCCATGGACCGGTTTATGGTTTTCAGGGTTTTTACTAATTTTTATTGTTAATACTTATTGTTTTTATCATTACCTCAGTTTCCCTGTGTCTTTTCCCGTGTGTTATATATGTATATATATATATGTGTGTGTGTGTGTGTGTACTTTTTGGTACCGGTACTGGTTTTATTTTGTTGTATTTATCTGCAACACCTTAAAGACCGGTCCGTAGAAATATTGTCGGACTTAAACCAGTCTGTGCCGCAAAAAAGGTTGGGGACCGCGGATCTAAGACACATCAAACTGGACAAAAAACAGATGATACTTGCAGTTTAGTTACTGAATGAAAAATAACAAACTGAAATATTATTTATTTATTTTAAAAACATTTAAAAAACATGTGATAAACTAAGCTACTTTTAGTCTTTACATGATCGTGTGACTCACTTTGGCCAGAGTGTTTAAGAGCGTTTAATCACTAAAGCCCACTGTGTATAGAGACTAGACTTTATTGCTTTGTGCTTCTAACACATGCTGTGTTTGTGTAGTAAATTCTGGTCTAAGCTCTTTAAAAATACCCCTGACAAATTATAAGAAAATCTTAAAAGTGATGAAACAACCAAAACAAAAGTCTAATAAAACAAAAAGGGATACAGGATATAAAAGTATAATAAGCTGTAGTTTTTCTGGGCTCTGTCTCCTCCTCGTCCACCCATTTCTCTGGATAGATGGACCACTGGGACATAGTTGCTGAGAGCAGATACCAGGAGTACACCACCACATTTAAAATCAGCATGTGCTCCATCTGGAAAAATGTACTTGTTAAGCAAGTAACCACCTGGGAGTTGGCACATGGCTGCCACTAGAGGGGGCTGTGAAGTGACCCACAGAAAAGACAGCCTGTGCTGTCAGCTGTTTGTTTCTCACCCAAAGGGAGGGAGTCTTTCATTGGTTCTGTGTCTGGCAGCAGTGTAGGGTCCACGGGGGTTGAGAAGCGTATCTGTAACCGGAAGGTCGCCGGTTTGATTCCCGGGTTATCTGTCCTGGTCGTTGTGTCCTTGGGCAAGACACTTTACCCTACCGCCTACTGGTGTTGGCCAGAGGGGCCGATGGCGTGATATGGCAGCCTCGCTTCTGTCAGTCTGCCCCAGGGCAGCTGTGGCTACAACCGTAGCTTGCCTCCACCAGTGAGTGAATGAATAGTGGCATTGTAAAGCGCTTTGGGTGCCTTGAAAAGCGCTATATAAATCCAATCCATTATTATTATTATTAACAGCTTGAGCTGATTGAATTTAGGTGTAGCTTTCCTAGCGGCCTCTTCATGGTTCCCATTCGCCTGCGGGATCCCCAGGTACTTGTAACTGTCCTCTATGTCTGCAATGTTGCCTTCTGGCAGTTCAATCCCCTTAGTTCTGACTACCTTCCCTCTCTTTGTTACCATCCGACTACACTTCTCCAGCCCGAACGACATTCCAATGTCATTGCTGTATAGCCTGGTAGTGTGGATCAGTGAATCGATGTCTCGTTCACTCTTGGCATACAGCTTTATGTCATCCATGTACAGGAGGTGGCTGACAACTGCTCCGTTCCGTAGTCGGTATCCGTAGCCAGTCTTGTTAATGATCTCACTGGGGGGGTTCAGGCCTATGCAGAACGGCAGTGGGGACAGAGCATCTCCTTGGTAGATCCCGCACTTGATGGTGACTTGTGCTATGGGCTTGAGGTTGGCCTCCAGTGTTGTCAAACGAATGTAGCTCCAAAATGGTTTGTCTGTCATACCGAGTATATGATAGCGCTGTGCACACAGAAATAGCAAGCAGTACAAAATAAATAATAATAATAAAAAAATAATTTAAAAAACTAAAACAAAATAAGGAAATTTTTGCTGTAATGACTTGGAGCTCTTGTCGGTGCGGCTAACTTACGGCGCAACTGGAAGTTGTACCGTTGTTATGTACAAAATATGAGTAACTGTGATACATATATATAATAACCTTAACTGTTATATTTTGCTATTGCCTTGGCTCCCCAACTGCTCAGTGTTGGGAATAAATAATTTTTCAGTGCTTCAATAATGCTATGCTTTTTTATTAATATGTGTTATAAAGTTATATAGTGTAGTATTAAGTGGACACACCCCTGGAAAATAAAGGCATGAGACCATGTGTCCTTGGGGAGTAGAAAGCTGCAGACTCTCTTTTACACTTGCCTGGGAAAATGCAGATGAGAGGGGACCATCTCTAGTGGAAAGTTACTGAGACACTGTTGTTTAGACTAGAATGAGAGAGCTTCTGTAATAAAACTGTTAGGGCACACCACCATTTGGAGATCTGTGGCAGCGTGTCATCTCGATTCTAGAAATAATAAAGTGTTAAATGGTCTACTGAGCACTGTGTTGTCTTCCATTGGATGCCTTTGAGGAATCAAAAGAACTCGGTGAAGTGTTGATATTTACATCAGTCTGTTTTTTGAAGGGTTTTCCTTCTCAGAATAACACCTACTGTCCACATATATCTGTCAAAACCAATAAAAACTTTATATTAGCTAGTCTAAGGATCTTGGAAAGAAATATCATCTGGACTTCTTTAAGTTGCTTGAAGCTTCTCTCATCCGAGAAGCTTCTTCAGTTCTAGACACCTGTCTTTAAGCAACTTAAAGAAGTCCAGACACTTTTCTTTCCAAGCTCTTTAGACTACGATGACCTGGATAAATGTTTTAGTATTGCCCCCGCCATTCGGGGGAGTTCTGCTATTGAATGCTCTTGTTTCTTCCGTGTGTTTTGTTGTATATCTTTATAATCTAATTTTTATATCTTATATCTTTTATACTGATGATTACTAAAAAAAAAAGTAATACAAAAACTCGCAATTTTTAGCATTTTTTAGGTTGTTTGAATCTTCTGAATCAGCAGATCTCCATGTGCTGGTCTGAATCTTTATGTGAGCTCAGTCTATTTTAGACAGTCAGCAATCCCAGTACTGAACTCTATAACTGGGTACAGTAGTTACTCAGCGTGAGTAAATTACTCCTATCAGGTCTCTGAGCCTGCTTGATCTGTTCCCAGGACATGGCTCGATCAGAATCACAGCAGCAGATTCCTAGACCTGGATTGGTGTTTGGGTTTGTGCATGTGAATGGAAACCTTAGACACTGCTACACTGTTGAGTAAAATATTTGGATCGATTGGATTTAGCTTGTTAAGTTTGCATTATCAGAGTTCAACCAAAAAGAAAGAAAATAGTCGGAGATGTTTTCAAGTATTTTTCTAATTATGTTTTAATAAAGATTTTAATTGATCATTACCATCGCTAAATGTTTAATACACACCTGCATCTGCTTCATGTTTATTTTATTTTCTATTTTTAAATGTAGATCAAAAATAGAAATGACATTTGTGTAAAATATATTCTGTATGTTGGTTTGTTGCATTTGAATAATGCAGACAGTATTTGGTGGGTTTACAACAGCAGAGGGAGACAGAGTTTAAACACAAACACCTCTTTCTGTGTCCAGGACTGCAGCAGAAACAGCTTTAAACTAGCTAACAGGAACACACTTCAAACATGTCGTTCAGTTTCCCATTTACTGTATATGCTGTGCCACGGGTCATCCTGTCATCTAAGACCAGGATCCAAGGTTCCACAATAAACTCTGATTTATTTTACACAATCAGATCATCAAATGAAAAGATCAAATAAAAAGCTTTTACTGTGACTTAGCTGCTTCAGCTTCAATGTTTATGGGTTATTGTAGATAAAGATAGATTTTTATGGTGCGATTCAAAGCTCAGGAAGTGCAGAAACAGCTCAGCAGTTAGTGACAGAGGAACTCTGAAATTCATCTTGACTTAAATATTGACATCACATGTATACTGAAGCTCAACAAACTCAGCAGATCCAGAAATATCTACCCAGAGTCCAGCATGTAGGGGCTGCGTGAAGGTGGTCTGGACTCTGTGAATGAGAGTCATGGTTTCAGAGACACTGTAGAAGCACAGAATACCATCACTGTGATCGAGGTACACCCCAACTCTGGAGCACTGAGGAACTGAGAGGAAAGTAACAATGTTGTTGTGCCGGAACTTATAACTATTGCAGTCACACTCTAATGACCAGGATTTGTCATTGTATCCAAATTCACTATCACTTCCTGTTCTGCTAATACACTTGTATGCGACAGCTATTGAAACAAATCTTTTCCATTTCACCTCCCAGTAACAACAAACAGTCAGAATCTCTCTGCTCAGAACCTGAGCGCACTCTCTAAATCTCTCTGGATTATCTGAATATGACAGTATGGTATACCCAAATGTTACTCTCCTGTGCCCCTCAGATAATAACAGCTCTCTGTGTGCTGTGTTTGGGTCCATGGTGATTCTCTTTGAATACTGGAGGAACTCAGCTCTGGTTGTGGGCTCTACTGGTGACAGAAAAGATTGTGGTGGTGGCAAACATGGTTGCTGTTTCACTAAAGTTCTGGACTCTGTTGGAGGCTGGAGGGACGGTGGTGGTGGTGGCACCAACCATGGTTGTTGATTCACCAAAGTTATGCACTCTGTTGGAGGCTGGAGGGATGGTGGTGGTGGCACCAAGTGCATTTGTTGCTTGACTAAAGTCTTGTGCTGTTCTGGTCTCAGCAAAGTTTCCCCTTCAGTCAGTGAGACCTGAGACCAGTCCTGACTCAGGATGCGCTGCAGTTTATTTACAAGCTCTGACACAGCTGCTGTCACCTCTTGGAAGTAGCTCTGAGGATGGATGTTGATGCTGACTGAATGTGTGGATTCACTGAGTCCTGAAAGTAAGGCGTAGCTGAGGAGAAACTGGCCATGATCCTCTGTACGTGAGAGCTGGTCCAGTTCAGCATCTCTCCTTCTGAGGTCAGTTACCTCCTGCTGGAGCTTTTTCTGAAGCTCTTTGGCCCGGCTCAGTTCAGTTTGTTGCTGGAATCTGATCTGCTGCTGCACATCAGAGCTTCTTTTCTCCACTAATCGGTGCAATTGGTTGAACATGATCTGGGTGTCCCTCATGGCCTTATCAGCAGAGCTATCAATGGCCTCCATCTGCTGCTGAAGGAGCTTCATGTGTTTTTCTCTGTCCTGGATTCTTTGCTGGATTTTTTGCCATCTTGGCCCGAGCTCTTTCTGCCGCTCGGCCCTCTCTGCTATTGCCGACACTGTGTCATGGCCACTATGTTCCTCCATAGCACAGACAGAGCAGATGCACTGCTGATCGCTGCAACAGAAGATCTCTTTCACTTTACTGTGAACAGAGCACAAGTTCTCCTGGAGCTTTGCCAAGGCTTCCACCAGCTTGTGTCTCTGAAAATTTGATGATTCATAGTGAGGCTGAAGGTGGAGCTCACAGTAAGAGGCCATGCACTGCAGACAGGATTTGGAGGCTTTGAGCTTTCTTTCTGTGCACACGTCACAGGCCACATCTCCAGGTTCAGCATAATGCTGAGGATGAGGAGCAGCTTGGAGTACATCTTTCTTCAGCTCCTCCACTAACTCTGCTAACATGGTGTTCTTCCCCAAGACTGGCCTCAACATGAAGGCTTGTCTGCACTGAGGACAAGTGTAGGATCCCTTCTGATCCTCTGCATCCCAGTGGCTCCTAATACAGCTCTTACAGAAACTGTGCCCGCAGGAAGTAGTCACTGGTTTGTTCAGTAGATCCAAACAGATTGAACAGGAAAACCTCTCCTTGTCAAGCTGAAGTCCTCGCTCAGCCATTTTCTCCTTTTTACAGCAGACAAAATGTGAGTCTGTTCCCTGTGCTCTGGTTTAGATATGCAGTGGACAGGACTGTTCAGCACCTCATCACAGCAAACAGATGTAGGATCTCTGAGAGAAAACAGCACCAATAAGTTTACAGCAAGGGGAGTAGACAGAATTCATTGCCTTCCAGTAAGAGGAGCGGCTTCAGCTCTGACTGTTAATAATAAACTTGTACTGAAAAAGTTTCTAGACAGATTTCTTTGTGTAGCAAACTAAGAAATCATTCTTAAAAACATAGTGCTCTAATCTGGTCAGGAACTGATGTAAATTTCAAGCACTGAATACTAAATGGAATCATTATTAGAATTTTAACATAGTGGTGTTGGGTAAGGAAAAGATTTTATTGCACCTTAGAGAAAACCTTTGCTCAGTATCATTAGAGGACTAACGTCATGATGAATGTTAAAAAAGTGACGTTGGAATAACTCTGACCCTTTAATTCTGGTGCAGTTATAGATAGACTGACTATTGCCTTATTGTCTGGTACCCGTACTCTCAAACCATACAGGACACCTGAAGGAATGCAGTTCTACAAGCTGTCAAAGTCTACAAGCACATGTGGAAAGTCCCATGCAACTCCAGGTGACTTCCTCGCAATATTCCACCCAGGATAATATCGACAGTTTCAATTCATGTTGAATGACTGTCATCCACATCTTTACGTGGTGGATGGTGATAGAACCATATACATAGTGTGTATGGGTCAACCAGCATGCAGTCTGTTTCAGTTGCACCTGATTTTTCCTCCTTACCTTCTTTTTTGTCTTAAATTTGGTATTTTAGAGTGTTTGTTTGTTTTAATACGTTTCTTTTTTCTTTCTCCAAGATGGTGGCACTGACTGTTGCAGTGTCTCACGGCTCTCCATCTCAGTACTCCTTTCTTTTGCTTCACTTGTACATCTTTCTTGTTTGTTTGTGCACTATTAGCCACAAAAGCCACAAAAGTTCATAGCTAAGGAGGCTGGCTGTTCACAGAGTGCTGTGTCCAAGCATATCAATGGAAAGTCTAGTGTAAGGGCAAAATGTGGCAGGAGAAGACACACCAGCAGAAGAGATGACTGTGGCCTTCAGTGGATTAGCATACATAAGGTTCAAGAATCTGGCAGAGATCCGGAAAGAGCGGAATGAGGCAGCAGTCAAAGCTTCAAAACCACTTCTGAGCCTGAGCCAACGCAGGAAGCAACTCAATTGGGCCAAGAGAGAAGATGGACTGGACTGTTGGCCAGTGGTCAAAGGTCCTCTTTTCCAATGAAAGTAAAGTGTGCCTTTCATTCAGGAATCAAGGTCCAAGTGTTTGGAAGAAGACGGGTGAGAAACAGAACCCAAGCTGCTTGAGGTCCAGTGTGAAATATCCAGTCAGTCATGATTTGGGGTGCAATGTATTTGAAAATACCACATTTTGATTGATTTGATGTCATCCTAATTTCTTTCTTTTCTTTTTTTTTTTTCCTGTAAAAACTGAGAAGTAAATTTTGATGTCTTCACAGTATTCTAACTTTTTGAAATCCTGTTTTTGTGGGTTTCATGGGCTGGAAGCCCAAATTATATACAAATAAACAAATAAGTACTTTAAATCATTTAAGTTGTGGGCCCTGAATCTATAATCTATGAAAGTTTAACATTTTGAATGGAATTATGGAAATAAATAAATTTTTCCATGATATTCTAAATTTTTTGGAAAGGGTTTGTACATTCCAATGTAAACACGGCACTCTCTATCCTGCTGAACACCATTAACAAACCGCCGCAGGCCTACCCGAACAGTGTTCACATAGTTGCAGGTGACTTTAATAAGGCCGACATAAAGACTGTCCTACCAAATTTTTATAAGCATGTCAAATGTCCCACCAGGGGAGAGAACACTCTAGGTCATCTTTACTCCAACATTAAGCATGCATATAGAGCTATACCCCCTTCCCCCTCGGCTCAACGGAGGCTCCCGCGCCAGAGGCTCAGCTGTTTACCCCGCCCGCTTCCTCTTCCCAGAGATGGCGGCGCTGATGCCGCCATAAACTGGACTCTGCTGACCAAATCCCCATGGTGAGTGAAGACTGTTTTTCTCCCGCTTCTCTGAACATAAAAAACAATACACTCACCGCCGATCTCTTCGGTGCTTCTCTACTGGACGATGACATAGACTGGGAAAACTGTTTCCATTCAGCTCCCTCTGAGCTGGGATTTATGAAGAACAATCACTGTACTTCAACACCTCCAAAGACTGTTAAGTTAAAGACTGCGGCAGAAGGGCCAAAATAATTTCTGATTTCATGGTTCCTGTGTATGTAAACCCTAGGTCTGCTCATTCCAAGACTGTTTTATCTGAGCCTGCTCTTTCATTGACCGGTGTTCCTGCTCCAAGGGCAGCTCGGGCCCGGCTTTTCTCTGCACCCGTTTCAGTTCCTCAGGTGGGGAAAGCTGAGGTTCAGCTGGTCCCTACTCGGGCTCCCAGGCTGGCTGAGGCACTGTCAGTCCCTGCACCCGTACCAGCTCCTCGGGTGGGGACGGCAGCTCCCCAGCCATTGTCGGTGCCTTTTCCAGCTCCCAGGATGAGGGCAGCTCTGACCCAGTCTAACCCCACACCCGTTCTTGTTTCTCGGGTGGGGATGACTGGTGTCCAGCCACCTCCCTTGCCTGTCCCAGCATCCAGGATGAGGGCAGCCAGAATTCAGCCTGACCTCCCTAGAGGCTCAGCTGAGGCTCTCCAGCTGCTGTCCTCACGCTCTGAAGGCTCAGAAGAGCCAGCCTGTCCACCGTCCAGTTCACCATCTTATCCACTCCCTCATCCACCTTTCCACGCCCTAGCATAATCTTTAGTTAGGCTAGCCGATCTATTTCCAGCTCAAGCACCAGGTTTGCTAGCCCAGGCTGTAGCTTTGTCCCCTTCGCTAACCCAGTCTTCAGCTCAGCCATTAGCCTCACCAACCTCTGCTCAGCCATTAGCCTCACCAGTCCAGTCAATTCAGTCACCTGCTGTTCAGCTTCCAGTCCGGTCAGTCCAGTCCCCTGTAGCTCAGTTTCCCGTCCTCCCGCCGCCTGTGGTCCAGTCTCCTCCTGTCCAGTCTCCTGTAGTCCAGTCTATCGCCCAGTCTCCTTTAATCCAGTCCGTCACCCAATCTTCTCCTGTCCTCCAGTCAGTCCAGTCTGTGTCCCAGTCCTGGGTGTTCACCAAGTGTTTTCAGTTTCATGTTCAGTTTATTCACCTGTTCACATTTCCTGTTTTCATGTTTGCTTCCTGTGTGTTATTACTTCAGTTATGTTCAGCTTTGCTCTCACTGGTCCCTAATCATCATCATTAGCCAGTGTATTTAAACCCTCGGTTTCTCTCTGTTCCGCGTCATGTCATTGATGTTGATGTTAACGTGGTCTACTCTGTACTTGTGTTCCGTTCAGCCAGTCATTTCAGTTCAGCCAGTCATCCTATGTTCGGTTCACCTGCTCGTGATAATAAACACCAGCCTTCACCTACCTGTGAGTCCAGTGTTTGGGTCCTCCTTTCCTCACCCACACGGTACTCACTGACAATGCATCCTCAAGCATCCAGGTAAGTAAATCTCCAAAGGTTGATTCTGCTTATCTGGACGTAGCGTTTTCAGTGGGAGAAACATTTCGTCACTCATCCAAGTGACCTCTTCAGTCTCAGCTGACTGCAGGTTTCAATCTTATAAACAGTACATTTGCATAATGACTGAAACCAGCCCAGTGAAGGAACAATAGGCTGGGAGGTCAGTTCCTTCATCAGAACTTTGCAAATTCTCATGAGAGCAACAGGACCACTCTCAGCATCGACCAGGTGTGTTTGCTTTTGGAACTGTGTGTCATTCCACCTACTTCACATACAAGGGTCAGTACTACAGGCAGAGACATGGGTGTGCCATGGGTTCCCCAGTTTCACCCATTGTGGCCAATTTGTACATGGAAGAAGTGGGAAAGAGGGCTTTGTTATCCTACCCTGGAACAACACCAAGCCATTGGTTCAGGTATGTGGATGACACCTGGGTGAAAATCAAATCTAAGAATGTACCAGACTGTACCACATGGCTGTTTACGTTCCTCATTCTCCCATTCCCAAAGCTCCTTGTGACACTATCGACTCTGTCATAGCCCGGTTACAGACTCAGCAATGAAGTCACTTGGGTGCTATCTCGGGTGACTTCAACCATGTCACCTTGGACAATACCCTGCCAAAGCTCACACAGTATGTAGCCTGTCCCACCAGGAGGGAGAGAAACTTAGATCTACTGTATGCTAATGTCAAAGATGGATACAGCTCCTCCTCCCTCCCCCCACTGACTAGGTCAGATCATAACCTGACTCACCTCATTCCCGCCTATGTGCCGATTGAGATGAGGGAACCTTTGACCACGAGGAGCATTAGGAGGTGGTCAGAGGAGGCCTGAGTGGAACTAAGGGGCTGTTTTGAGGTGCCAGACTGGGAGAAACTTTTTGCACCCACTCCACTGTTCCAGCTCAGACTGTACATTGCTACCCAAAAAACAAGCTGTGAGTGAGTAAGGACATCAAAGCTCTGATTTGACACTGCAGTGAATGCTCATACCCCTACAGCCTTACCTGTCAACAGCATGAAATCCACAGCCACACCATAGTCTCTCCCTCTCTCTCCACATTGCACCGTGGCCTCCTATGAAAGTCAAGAACCCCTCCCCCACTTATCACTTTCATCCATGACCAGGAGCTCCGATCTGTCTCAGCTTCCCTTGCAGCCGTGCCCAAGCCACACCGAGCAACAGATATAAATTACAAGGACCTAGGGATTAATTCAGGATATAAACAAGAACAACAAAGAAAATCCAGGATTGTTTGTACCAGTGTTGGGCAAGTTACTTTGAAAAAGTAAGTAATTATAGTTACTAGTTACTTCTTCAAAAAACTCAGTTAGTAACGGAGTTACAATATTCTAAAAGTAATTAATTACTTTAAAAGTAACTATTGCATTA